ACCACATATGAAAAACACCTTGGGGCCAGTGACCACGTCGTTCTGAGCTTCGAATAAATAGTTACAAGTGGAGAGGAAAGCAGGAAGGGCAGGACAAATGAAGCCAAACTACAAGAGTGGGGACTACACAGGCATGAGGAATTTCCTGCACAAGGTTCAGTGAGACAGAGAACTGGCAGGGAGATTAGTAATGAGATACTATTTGCCACAAAAGGTAAGCAGAAAATGGTAAATACCTTCAGTTAAATGGCTTGTATATGCATATCAGGTGAATTTATAAGGAATGTATTAAAAAAACAAATGCCTGTATAAGTTCCTCTTTATAGAGGCGAGGTGCCAACCTGTTCAGGAACGCAAGACTGAACGTTTAGCTCATGCAGTACAATCTCACGGATATTTTTTTGGTTCGTGGTATTCTACTACAACAAAAAAAAATAGGAGACTACAGATTACCAAGGAAAAGATGATGAGATACATCCTGGATGCGGGTCCAAGAGAGCATTTAAACAAGGATGTATCACATGTGACTCAACCACACACAAAAAAAAATTTATAATGTCATGTGTCTAGGTTAGTAAACCAGTATGGTACTAGGGGGAAAGTGAACCGGCTTTCATAGTACTCACAGTAGGTGGCCAGGCTTGAAATACCTTCTAATACACACCGAATGGGTTGCTTGATCATGTCATGGCTAGTGTCAGTTTAAAGCAGTTTAAGAATAGAACTAAAGGATATATACCTGATGAAACTACAGAAAGGGACGAAAGTGATTTCTTGAATTTTTTCTTGTTTCTGAAGGGAGCTTAAGTGACTGGGGAAATTATTTTTTCTTATTTCGCTTTCTTCTTCCTCCAAATGATTCTAGATGTCTTGTGACGATAACTGTTAAACCCATTTCTAAAATCCTGAAATAGCTTTAATAAGTTCTAGAACCCTCCGCAGCGTATCATAAAACGTTAAAAGAAAAACGCCTCCTAATTCGACGACTGAGAGAGTGAAATTCTAGTTTCTAATTTCACAAGTACCAATTTTATGCGTAAAATAGTGTGCAATTTTTATTCCAGTTTAATAACATTAAAAATATTTGAGTCTACCTCTGAACTTCTTCAATATTTAATAGCTAATGCATCTTACGACCTGGAGGATACCAGTTAAGCTTACTTTGTGAGAGGGAAAATTTATCAGTGTACTAAATTAGTTTACAAAATTTTTGGAATTAATGTGATAACTGGAGAATGACTCGTGTACTGATCCAAGACACTTGTGTGTGTAGTTACCAGTACTGCTGCAAGACACTCGTGTGTGTAGTTACCAGTACTGCTGCAAGACACTCGTGTGTGTGTAGTTACCAGTACTGCTGCGAGACACTAGTGTATGTAGTTACTAGTACTGCTGCAAGACGCTAGTGTATGTAGTTACCAGTACTGCTGCAAGACACTAGTGTGTGTAGTTAACAGTACTGCTGCAAGACACTCGTGTATGTAGTTACCAGTACTGCTGCGAGACACTAGCGTATGTAGTTACCAGTACTGCTGCAAGACGCTAATGTATTTATTTACCAGTACTGCTGCAAGACACTAGTGTGTGTAGTTACCAGTACTGCTGCAAGACACAAGTGTGTGTAGTTACCAGAACTGCTGCATGAAGCTAGTGTATGTAGTTACCAGTACTGCTGCATGAAGCTAGTGTATGTAGTTACCAGTACTGCTGCATGACGCTAGTGTGTGTAGTTACCAGTACTGCTGCAAGACACAAGTGTGTGTAGTTACCAGAACTGCTGCAAGACACTCCTGTGTGTAGTTACCAGTACTGCTGCAAGACACTCCTGTGTGTAGTTACCAGTACTGCTGCAAGACACTGGTGTATGTGGTTACCAGTACTGCTACAAGACACTCGTGTGTGTAGTTACCAGTACTGCTGCAACTGCTGCAAGACACGTGTATGTAGTTACCAGTACTGCTGCAAGACACAAGTGTGTGTAGTTACCAGTACTGCTGCAAGACACTAGTGTGTGTAGTTACCAGTACTGCTGCAAGACACTCGTGTGTGTAGTTACCAGTACTGCTGCGAGACACTAGTGTGTGTGTAGTTACCAGTACTGCTGCAAGACACTCGTGTGTGTAGTTACCAGTACTGCTGCAAGACGCTAGTGTATGTAGTTACCAGTACTGCTGCAAGACACTCGTGTGTGTAGTTACCAGTACTGCTGCAAGACGCTAGTGAATGTAGTTACCAGTACTGCTGCAAGACACAAGTGTGTGTAGTTACCAGTACTGCTGCAAGACACTAGTGCGTGTAGTTACCAGTACTGCTGCAAGACACTCGTGTGTGTAGTTACCAGTACAGCTGCGAGACACTAGTGTGTGTGTAGTTACCAGTACTGCTGCAAGACACTCGTGTGTGTAGTTACCAGTACTGCTGCAAGACACTAGTGTGTGTAGTTACCAGTACTGCTGCAAGACACTCGTGTGTGTAGTTACCAGTACTGCTGCGAGACACTCGTGTGTGTAGTTACCAGTACTGCTGCAAGACACTCGTGTGTGTAGTTACCAGTACTGCTGCAAGACGCTAGTGTATGTAGTTACCAGTACTGCTGCAAGACACTCGTGTGTGTAGTTACCAGTACTGCTGCAAGACGCTAGTGTATGTAGTTACCAGTACTGCTGCAAGACACTCGTGTTGTGTAGTTACCAGTACTGCTGCAAGACGCTAGTGTATGTAGTTACCAGTACTGCTGCAAGACACTCGTGTGTGTAGTTACCAGTACTGCTGCAAGACACTCGTGTGTGTAGTTACCAGTACTGCTGCAAGGCACTCGTGTGTGTAGTTACCAGTACAGCTGCGAGACACTAGTGTGTGTGTGTAGTTACCAGTACTGCTGCAAGACACTCGTGTGTGTAGTTACCAATACTGCTGCAAGACACTCGTGTGTGTAGTTACCAGTACTGCTGCAAGACACTCGTGTGTGTAGTTACCAGTACTGCTGCAAGACACTCGTGTGTGTAGTTACCAGTACAGCTGCGAGACACTAGTGTGTGTGTGTAGTTACCAGTACTGCTGCAAGACACTCGTGTGTGTAGTTACCAGTACTGCTGCAAGACACTCGTGTGTGTAGTTACCAGTACAGCTGCGAGACACTAGTATGTGTGTGTGTAGTTACCAGTACTGCTGCAAGACACTCGTGTGTGTAGTTACCAGTACTGCTGCAAGACACTCGTGTATGTAGTTACCAGTACTGCTGCGAGACACTAGCGTATGTAGTTACCAGTACTGCTGCAAGACGCTAATGTATTTATTTACCAGTACTGCTGCAAGACACTATTGAGTGTAGTTACCAGTACTGCTGCATGACGCTAGTGTATGTAGTTACCAGTACTGATGCATGACGCTAGTGTGTGTAGTTACCAGTACTGCTGCAAGACACAAGTGTGTGTAGTTACCAGAACTGCTGCAAGACACTCGTGTGTGTAGTTACCAGTACTGCTGCGAGACACTAGCATATGTAGTTACCAGTACTGCTGCAAGACGCTAATGTATTTATTTACCAGTACTGCTGCAAGACACTAGTGTGTGTAGTTATCAGTACTGCTGCATGACGCTAATGTATGTAGTTACCAGTACTGTTGCATGACGCTAGTGTATGTAGTTACCAGTACTGCTGCATGACGCTAGTGTGTGTAGTTACCAGTACTGCTGCAAGACACTAGTGTGTGTAGTTACCAGTACTGCTGCATGACGCTAGTGTATGTAGTTACCAGTACTGCTGCATGACGCTAGTGTGTGTAGTTACCAGTACTGCTGCAAGACACTAGTGTATGTAGTTGCCAGTACTGCTGCAAGACGCTAGTGTATGTAGTTACCTGTAGTGCTGCAAGACACTAGTGTGTGTAGTTACCAGTACTGCTGCAAGACACTAATGTATGTAGTTACCAGTACTGCTGCAAGACGCTAGTGTATGTAGTTGCCAGTACTGCTGCGAGACACAAGTGTGTGTAGTTACCAGTACTGCTGCAAGACACAAGTGTGTGTAGTTACCAGTACTGCTGCAAGACACAAGTGTGTGTAGTTACCAGTACTGCTGCATGACGCTAGTGTATGTAGTTACCAGTACTGCTGCAAGACACAAGTGTAGTTACCTGTACTGCTGCAAGATGCTAGTGTATGTAGTTACCAGTACTGCTGCAAGACACAAGTGTGTGTAGTTACCAGTACTGCTGCATGACGCTAGTGTATGTAGTTACCAGTACTGCTGCAAGACACTCGTGTGTGTAGTTACCAGTACTGCTGCAACTGCTGCAAGACACGTGTATGTAGTTACCAGTACTGCTGCAAGACACAAGTGTGTGTAGTTACCAGTACTGCTGCATGACGCTAGTGTATGTAGTTACCAGTAATGCTGCAAGACACAAGTGTAGTTACCAGTACTGCTGCAAGACGCTAGTGTATGTAGTTACCAGTACTGCTGCAGGACACTAGTGTGTGTAGTTGCCAGTACTGCTGCAAGACACTAGTGTGTGTAGTTACCAGTACTGCTGCGAGACACAGGTGTGTGTAGTTACCAGTACTGCTGCAAGACACAAGTGTGTGTAGTTACCAGTACTGCTGCAAGACACTAGTGTATGTAGTTACCAGCACTGCTGCAAGACACTAGTGTATGTAGTTACCAGTACTGCTGCAAGACGCTAGTGTGCGTAGTTACCAGTACTGCTGCAAGACACAATGGTTGTGGGTAGTTACCTGTACTGCTACAGGACACAATAGTTGTGGGTAGTTACCTGTACTACTACAGAACACAATTGTGGGTAGTTACCTGTACTGCTACAGGACACAATAGTTGTGGGTAGTTACCTGTACTGCTACAGGACACAATTGTTGTGGGTAGTTACCTGTACTGCTACAGGACACAATAGTTGTGGGTAGTTACTTGTACTGCTACAGGACACAATAGTTGTGGGTAGTTAGCTGTACTGCTACAGGACACAATAGCTGTGGGTAGTTACCTGTACTGCAGCAAGATGATATCTGCTTCTATCGTGATATCACCGCTTTCTTTATATAGCAATGTATGTCATGTGTGTGACCCTCAGCACTACGATCTGCTCCTCTCCCTCCTCCGTACATTATCGGAGTGGATTTAAGTAATTTTTAGAGCATGATCTGTTTTGATGTGCTTACGTTAACCTTTATGATGGAATTCAGGAAAACCATTTAACCGGATTTTAGTGTTGTAAGTAGGAAGTATACTGCCAGGTGCCTAATCTCTAGACAAAGGGATAGGGGCGGGAATGTCATATCAGTACACTTCTGGGAAATCAGCTACTGGTAGCATAATTGTGTATGTGTTTCCTTCTTTTGGATAATCCTAACTTGGTGGCATACATAGGATATTTATTATCACACTGGCCGATTCCCACCAAGGCAGGGTGGCCCGAAAAAGAAAAACTTTCACCATCATTCACTCCATCACTGTCTTGCCAGAAGGGTGCCTCACACTACAGTTTTTAAACTGCAACATTAACACCCCTCCTTCAGAGTGCAGGCACTGTACTTCCCATCTCCAGGACTCAAGTCCGGCCTGCCGTTTCCCTGGTGCCTCGTTTTTCCTTGAAATAAATTTACCTTTAGTTACCGAAACAAGAAAAACATACACAGAGAACGTCTGCCTAGTAACGTATTCCATCAAGAGCATTGATGCTGATAATGTATCTTTGATAATATGTGGAAATGACACATCAGCCTTCTTTTAAATGTATATCTGAAAAGGATTATCAAATTCACTAGAAGATTTCCAAAGTAATATAGCCTGAAAGTGTAATTATGAAAGGAATATTGTTCCTAATTTTAATATTTCTTTTGTGTACTCGATACAAGATACAGTGAATGATTAAGACTTTTTTTCAAAATGTGTAACCCAGTACAAACTCTAAGGCTGTTACTTCACTCTCTCTAACAGATACATATAACATCCTGTGTACTGCTGTGAAAACTATATCCTCATTAGCCATTTAAATCTTTTTTGATGTGGCTTGAAATACTTTCCTCAAATTACATTAACAGAGTTTATTTTACACACACACACACACACACACAGCTACCAGTGAAGAGGCGGAGCCAGGAGCTATGACTCGACCCCTGCAACCATAACTCAGTGAGTACAGCTAGGTGAGCGAGCGCGCGCACACCCGAAACCCCCTCCATGTAAACTCCAGGTAAGCACACACACATTGTTCCAGAGATGGGACACAGCAACAAGGGGTCAGAGTTGGAAGCTGAAGACTCAGATGAACCACAAGGATGTTAAGAAGTATTTCTTCAGTCACAGAGTTGTCAGGAAGTGGAATAGCCTGGATAGTGATGTAGTGGAGGCAGGATCCATACATAACTTTAAGAAGAGGTATGATAAAGCTCACGGAGCGGGAAGTGTGATCGGGTAGCGGCCAGGTAAAGAGGCTGGGCCAGGAGCTGTGACTCGAACCCCGCAACCACAACTAAGTGAGTACAACTAGGTGGTGAGTACACGCGTGCACACACACACACACACACACACACACACACACACACACACACACACACACACACACACACATGTAGTTCCAATTATTTAAGAAAGTAGACAGACACAATGCACTGAACTACAGACCAGTGTCACTGACGTGTGTAGTATGTTAAGTCATGGAAGGAGGAGAGTCGTGGAGCACCTAGAAAGGAATAAACTTATGACAACCGACACTGTTTCAGGGGAGGAAAATTCTGTCAGAAACCTACTGGAGTTTTATGAAAAGGTAACAAAAGTAAGACACGAGAGAAAGGGGTGGGTATATTGCATTTTCTTGGACTGCAATAAGACCTTCGACACAGTTCCTTACAAAAGATTAGTGCAAAAGCTAGAGGGTCAGGCACGGATAACAGGAAAGGCACTGCAATGGATCAGAGAATACCTGACAGGGAGGCAACAACGAGTCATGGTGCGTGACGAGGTGTCAGAGTGGGCGCCTGTGACGAGCGGGGTTACAAAGGGGTCAGTCCTAGGTCCACTGCTGTACTTGGCATATATGAATCACGGGTGGAAGGGACAGACTCAGAAGTGTCCTTGTTTGCAGATGATGTAAATTTAGTGAGAATTAAATCTGATGAGGATCAGGCAGGACTACAAAGAGACTTGGACAGGCTGCAAGCCTGGTCCAGCAACTGGCTCTTCGAATTTAACCTCGCCAAATGCAAAGTCATGAAGATCGGTGAAGGGCAAAGAAGACCCCCAGACAGAGTAAAGGCTAGGTGGTCAAAGATTGCAAACCTCGCTCAAGGAAAAGGCACTTGGGGTGAGTATAATACCGAGCACTTCTCCTGAGGCGCACATCAACCAGATAACTGCTGCGGCATATGGGCGCCTGGCAAACCTGAGAATAGCGTTCCGATACCTCAGTGAGGAATCGTACAAGACTGTACACCGTGTATGTCAGGTCCATATTGGAGAATGCAGCACCAATTTGGAATGAATTTAGAAACAACTCACTCAGAAATGTTCAAGAAATGGCAAAGTACTTTATCTACAGTGGTATATTGCAGACCATTCTGGAGAAATACCCTGACTTTGCTAGCTGTAAATAAAGCATTACCACATGTGTGCACGTGTGTGTGTGTGTGTGTGTGTGTGTGTGTGTGTGTGTGTGTGTGTGTGTGTGTGTGTGTGTGTTTGTGTGTGTGTGTGTGTGTGTGTGCACTCACCTAGTTGAGATTGCAGGGGTCGAGTCCAAGCTCCTGTGTGTGTGTGTGTGTGTGTGTGTGTGTGTGTGTGTGTGTGTGTGTGTGTGTGTGTGTGTGTGTGTGTGTGTGCGTTTGTGTGTGCGTGTGTATGTGTATGAGTGTGTATGAGTGTGTGTGTGTATGAGTGTGTGTGTGTGTATGAGTGTGTGTGCGTGTGTATGAGTTTGTGTATGTGTGTGTGTGTTTGTGTGTGTGTGTGTGTGTGTATGAATTTGTATGTGTGTGTGTGTGTGTCTCAACAATCAATATTTGCACCAATAACTCACTACAGTTGTGACCGGGTGTGGAAGTGTGAATTGCTCATTACACTATAATTTGTTCATGATTGTAGCCATGTACAAACGTAAGTAACCATTCTTACAGTATTCATTACCTTTGTAACTTGCGAGTTCATTACCTTGTACCTAGTTCAGCCATCAAAACTTTGGGGCCCAGTCCCTGGACCCATTACGTACCTCTGTAATCTGTAAATACCTTTGTAACTTGTCATGATTGTGACTAGACCTACCTGGAGTTCATTACCTTTGTAAATTGTGAGTTCATTACCTTTGTAAATTGTGAATTCATTACCTCTGTAACTTGCTCAGCTATCAAAACTTTGGAGTCCAGTCCCTGGACCAATTATGTACCTCTGTAATCTTTTGACTACCGCCCACAGGATGGGTATGGGGTGCATAATAAACATATTAAACTAAAACCTGGTCAAGCACGTCAAGAAATTAGAGAAAGAGAAAAAGCTTACAGCAAGACTAGTCCCGGAGCTAAGGGGAATGTCCTACCAATAAAGGTTAAGGGAAATCGACCTGGCGACACTGGAGGACAGGAGGGTTAGGGAAGGTACGATAACGACATATAAAATACTGCGAGGAATTGACAAGGTGGACAAAGACAAGGATGCTCCAGAGATGGTACACAAACAAGAGGCCACAATTGGAAGCTGAAGACTCGGATGAGCCACAGGGATGTTAGGAAGTATTTGTTCATAGTTGTCAGGAAGTGGAATAGTCTGGAGGGTGATGTAGTGGAGGCAGGAACCATACATAGTTTTAAGACGAGGTTTGATTAAGTTCATGGAGCAGGGGGAGAGAGGACCTAGTAGCGACCAGTGAAAAGGCGGGGCCAGCAGCTGTGACTTAACCCCTGCAACCACAATTAGGTGAGTACACACACATGCGCACATACACACACAGACACACACAAACACGCGCGCACACAAACACACGCACTACAGTTTACACTAGTACTTAGTTTAAACTAGTGTAAACCTGTACTTAGCTCAGTGGTGACCTGTACTTAGCTCTGTGAAGATCTGTCCAGTGTGTTCTCCGTGAATCTGCCTAAGATGTCCTCTCTTGAGCAACTCTACCAGCAGCTAAAAGAGAAGCTTAGGATTGCTAAGCTTGAAATACGGCGACTGACGGAGGAAAACAAGAAGATTCGAAGTAATCCTCCTGTTGTGAGTCCTCAGGTCAAGAGAGGAACCTGGTCAGTGGGCGGCCAACATGGAACGAAGCTCAAAATCAAGAAGACTGTTGGAGTTGCTGAAACAACGAAGATCCAGAAGACTGCTGTGGAGACTTCCAGCCCATTTTCGGTGTTACCAGACGAATGTGTGTTGTCTACTGGAAACGTCGCTATGAGTACCAAGGAATCATTGGCAGAGGAGAGTCGACATCCCTTAAAACACCAACGAAGACCATCGAAAACGTCTCTACGAACTCCACCAGTGAAGGTAAGAACATTGTTTTAGTAGGGGACAGTCAAGTGAAATTTATGGATAGGGCATTTTGTCTTATGGACAGGAAGAGGAGGCAGAGGGTATGTTTTCCTGGGGCTGGGATGGGGGATATTGTTAGCTGTCTGGACGACATCATGAAAGGTAATGGGAGCAATCCTATTATCTGCCTCAGTGCGGGAGGCAACGATGTTGGCAGACGTAGGAGTGAAGACCTGATTAGCAGGTATAGGACAGCAATAGAGATAATTAGGAAGAAAGGAGGGAACCCTGTGATCTGTGGCATTTTGCCCAGGAGAGGAGTTGGAAATGAATGGTTGCTGGATGGAGAAACACTGTAAGGAAAATGCAGTGACATTCATTGACAACTGGGACCTCTTCTATTGCAGAAATGACATGTATGCCAGGGATGGGGTTCACTTATCTAGGTTTGGGGTAGGAGCACTGGCTAACGCAGTGGAGGGAGCTGTTAGGTCTTTAAACTAGAAATAGATAGTGGTATGGGTTTTCGTGGAAAATCAAGGTACTGTATTCTGAGTGTAGCGACAGGGTGAATTTTAAGGAAACCAGTTATAGGAAGAATGAGGAAGAATTATTGGTGAACATAGGAAAGCCAATGGCATTATGTGATAAGGAGAGTAACAGGCAT